CAATTCTCATCGGTGAAAAGCGGGAAAAGGCAGGTTGACCAGAGAACAGCAGAGATCGGTGTGCGGCACAGCTCGGCTGTCTGGATGGTGGAGAGGAACCTGCTTGCGGGTAACCTTGCGGCTGCCGTGGTGAGCTGCGTGTAGTTTTGTAATGAGCTCGCCATGCCTTCTTTTTACCCTTGTGTGTGAAGAAGGATGTGCAAAGTGCTCTTTAAGGAACTACTATTTGGCGTTAGTTTGTAGCCCAGGCTACCTGTTACACAGCCCTGGGAACTGTCATTGCAGTCAGATTCCACATCACCTGACTCAGAAAGTATTAGTGGGGTTGTTCCCCTCCACACACACCCCCACTGAGACAGTTTACCTCAAATCCCACTTCTCTGATAAAACAGCGTTTACTTCCAACCCCCGCCCCCATTCATACAGGGAGCTTAAATGGTTTGTAAAGAAATTGAGATTTTATTTTGTACATCATTCACATCCAGGAAATTCACATCCAGATTTCTCCTGCATGTGCTTGCTTTCAAGAAGTTTAAAATAACACAATCCATACCAGACCTGGGGACAAACACACTGAAGAGGCTGAGGCAGGAGGACCCAGAATTGGAGGCTTGGAGGCCAGCCTGGGCTGCATAGCAAAACTCTGTCAGGTTCCCCCCCCCCTCCCCGACAAAGGGAAGGGAAGAAAGAAAGCACTCCAGAATGAAATGTCCTGTGGCTTGGTTCATCCCTTAAAGTTTGTAATTTTTCATGTAATTATCTACTTTTGAGCCTTACAGTTACAGTCCTTATGGTCTGACATAGCTCCTCCTTTACTTTTCTAGCCTTTCTATAGGAAATCAAAATGATGGACACAAGCTTTCGCAGATTTCCTTATACTCTGCTTGTTAGACATCTCACTCTAATTGTGTGACATACTCCCCAGCCACAGAGGTGAAACCGAGGAAGGACTTCAGGGAGTCTGTGTAAGTGAGGGTGATAGCCATAGCTGCCACATCCAGTTTAAGACTTCAGAGGTCATTCGACAACAACCAAGTCCAGCATCAGTGTTTTGGTGCAAGGATGTTGTCTAGAGGAGAACCTCTAGCCTCTTTCTTCAGCATCCTGTGAGCCACTTGGTGGTCATTAGCTATATTCATTTTCTGTTTTAAAATCATCCACAGATGGGTTCAGTTTTTCAATTAAGAACTGACAGAGGGGGCTGGGAAGGTGGCTCAGTGGTAGAGTGCTTGCCTTGCATGCATGAGGCCCTGGGTTCGATTCCCTAGCACCACATAAGAAAAAAAAGCCGGAAGTGGCACTGTGGCTCAAGTGGTAGAGCACTAGCCTTGAGCTGAAGAGCTGAGGGACAGCGCCCAGGCCCAGAGTTCAGGCCCCATGACCGGACCCAAAAAAAAAAAAAAAAGGTGATTACAATTATATAAGTAAGGTAAAGAGTACATTTCTTTTTTTTTTCACTTTTTTTTATTGTGAAAATACCGTACAGAGGGGTTACAATTACATGGGCAAGCTAATGAGAACATTTCTTATCAAGCATTGTTGCCTCCTCCTTTGTTTCCCCTTCCCATCCCTTCCCATCTAAGAGTACATTTCTTTTTAGACAATGTCACCCTTTTCTCACTTTTGTGTTTTTAAAAGTGGAGGATATCAAAAAGCAGAAATGTACCCTGATATGACAACACACATCTATATTTTCAGCACTTGGAAAGCTAGTGTAAGAGGACTGATATTTTGAGGCCATTCTGGACCTTATCTCAAATAAAAGTAACTGCTTTTTTCTACATAATGATATAGTTGGGGTTTTGGGGGGTTTTTTGGCCATCCATGAGGCTTGAACTCTGGGCCTGGGTGCTGTCCTTCAGCTCTTCAGCTCAAAGCAAGTGCTCTACCACCTGAGCCACAGCACCACTTCCGATTTTCTAGTAGTTTACTGGAGATAAGAATCTCACAGATTTTCCTGCATGCTGGCTCTGAACTTTGATCATCAGATCTCAGCCTCCTGAGTTGGTAGGTTTATAGGCATGGGCCACCAGCATCCAGCTATAATTAATTTTATACAGTGTTTCCAGCATTAGTATAATTATGTATTATCTTTAAATTTGGTAAAATGTTAATTACTTGAGTAATTATTATTACAGTTTTAACAGTAACAACAGGTACCCTCTTACAATAGTGTCTCCCAAAGCTATTTTAAAAAATAGCCACTCATGGGCTGGGAAGGCAGCTCAGTGGTAGAGTGCTTGCCTTGCATGCCTGAGACCCTGGGTTCGATTCCTCAGCACCACATAAGCAAAAAGAAAAAAGCCGGAAGTGGTGCTGTGGCTCAAGTGGTAGAGCGCTAGCGTTGAGCTGAAGAGCTGAGGGAAAGCGCCCAGGCCCAGAGTTCAGGCTCCACGACCGGACCCCCCCCAAAAAAATAACCACTCAAACACATGTTTAAAGAGCAAAGGAACAACAAATTAGAATATTTTAGAGATTTTTCTAACTTCTACTATAGTATGTGAAGAAGCATTCAACAGACTTGTTTAAACTTACTCCAGTTCCCACTCGAACATTTCCTGATGAGGGTCGAATTCCAGAAAGAGGCCTTCCCGCTAATCCAATTCCACCCCTTGAAATAGGGCGAGGTGCTGCAGATTTGTGGTTACTGGCCATGGTTTGTTTGCTTTAACCTGTTTGGAAAGAATAAAAAGTTTAATTCTGTTTTTATATCTTGTATAACAAGACACTATTGGCCCATCATACCTTTCTTTCCCTCTTACATTTAATTCAGAACTGGTGGCATGAATTCAAGTGGTACTGTACCCACCCAGCAAAAGCCAGGCCCTCAGTTTAAACTCCAGTAAAACCAAATAAATTTAAAATGATATTTAAAATTGAAATCATGATATTTCTTGTAAAATGCCATTCCAGGTACCATTACAGGAATTAACCTCCTCAAACCTGACACTAATTCATAATTATGCACTTGGCTATCACACTATTCCATCCTCATCTCCCTGTTATCCTACCAAAATACAAGTCCATTTAACTTTCTCTCCTTGGATGTTGCTCAATTAGCAAATAACTTGATCTACTATTTTTTTTCTTTTTTTTCTCTTTTGGCCAGTCATGGGTCTTGAACTCAGGACCTGGGCAACTGTCCCTGAGCTTCTTTTGCTCAAGGCTAGCGCTCTACCACTTGAGTCACAGCACTACTTCTGGCTTTTTCTGTGTATGTGGTACTAAGTAATCGAACCCGGGGCTTCATGCATTCTATGCAAGCACTCTACCACTGAGCCACATTCCCAACCACCCCTCTACCCCGGGCATTTTTAAAAAGCTAGAACAGCTGGGTGCTGGTGGCTCACACCTGTATTCCTATCTATTCAGGAGGCTGAGAGCTAAGGATTGCTGTTTGAAGACAGCCTGATAGAGGAAGTCCATGAGACTCAATTCCAATTAACTATCCAAAAAAAAAAAAAAAGAGAGGTGTGGGTTCAAACAGTGCAGCACTATCCTTGAGCAAAATAAGCTCAGGGACAGCATTCAAGACTCAGGACTGCTGGGCACCGGTGGCTCACGCCTGTAATCCTAGCTACTCAGGAGTCTGAGATCTAAGGATTGTAATTCAAAGCCAGACTGGGGAGGAAAGTCCATCAGACTCTTATCTCCAATAAACTACCAGAAAATCGGAAGTGGTGCTGTGGCTCAAGTGGTAGCAGACTCGCCTTGAGCTGAAGAGCTGAGGGACAGTGCCCAGGCCCAGGGTTCAAGCCCCATGACTACCAAAAAATAAAAGACTCAGGACTGGCACAAACAAACAAAAAAAGATGAGACATAAATTCAATCATCTTGGAAGCATTCAAACATACTAACATCCATCCTGGTCTCTAATCTCAACAGCCATCCTCTCTCTCTCTCATTCTAGATTAATTTCTATTCTAATTTGCCCTTTGGATTCTGTCACTTTTGGATACTATATTCTTTCCGTCAATATCTATGTTTCTGTTCCTTAAACTAGGCACCAAATCTGATTGTTCAATCATTTTCTAGATTTAGCATGATAACTTCACGCTGAATAAATTCACACTGAACTTAGAATCTTCCAATTCCAAGTAGCTTCCTGCCTCTATTTGTCTTCAACTCTGAAGACAAAGTAATAAGATTATTTTAAATGAAAAAGGGAGTTTTATGAAATGACTTCTTGGAAAGATGATTGGGCCTGTTCAAAACAGTTTCCCTAGAAGCTAGTAAAGTCAGATTCTATTTCCAGCACAATCCATCCTGGTTACTCTAACACTGTTGGTTACTCACTGTTACTCTAACACCCTAACAGTGTTACTCTGATAACTTTGAGAAACTGTAGAATATACATAAAGTGATTATCTTTGCCACAGCTTCAGTGTAGTAGAAAAAGGTTAGTTCTTTGACAGTCCCAGTGGGATTAAGAAAAGGCGGGGGGGGGGGGGGGGGGGGGG